GCTCTCCGATTCCTCAATCCGAGCCGCTATCCATTACTCCACCGTGTGTCTTTCTCATCACAAAAGCGTAAACTATCCGAGGCCGGAAACACGGCAAACATAAGAACAGATGCTACCCTTTGATCCCGTATTTACTGGCTTTCCAACCAAGCGGGGTGTGACACATGATCCACCCTCTCTCTCTCTCTCTCTCTCTCTCTCTCTCTCTCTCTCTCCCTCTCTCTCTCTCTGTCTTTATCCATCTACCCAAAAGGTCCTTCTTAACGTGGGGTGCGTATACACGTAGATATGGCCAAGGTAAGAAAAAACAGTCCCTACAAGCACTGGCACTGTCACGCTTCCGCCGGTAATCACCAAACCTCCCCTTGATGCAATGATCTAGGTGCTGCTGTAGTGTTGGGATCCTCGTCCTTTTTAACGTTAAGAGGATGATGGAACAGATACTACACGTTCAGCTCAAAGGCCAGATAGTCATTTACTAAGCGTAGCTTAGATGTGGCACAAGGCCGAATGTATGGGGGCACCGAGTGATAATCGAACTCATTACTCCACGCTGAAGTGCCCCACTTGAAATGCCAGATAGGCGGGTTCATCTCTTTTTGAATAATTGTTTGTGTATTGTCAGACAGAACATGTGAGGATCCGAAAGAGCTCAGAAATTTCTAGAACATAAAATGAGGAAAGAAAGCTTGGAGAATTAGGCACTCACAAGATATATTCAAAACAAGAGAGAAATATTGAAGAGTCTATTTAAAGAGGTTGTGTAAATTTGATGACAAAACAGTGGCAGGACAAAGAATAGGAAAATGTGGAGAGCCAAGACCGTCCACGACCTGAATGGGAACAGCACATACCAAAAGAAAAAGAATAATTGCACAGTCAGGCATTCTTCCTTCTCGATTTTAAATGGCATGTCTTTTCATGACTTCGGCGATCATGGCTCTCCACAGCTTCCATTCTTAATATCTATAAACTGAACATTATTGTTTTTTTAGAAAAGTAGTGGAGTTGATTTCCCTTGCTTTTGACACTGTTTCGAATTCATAGTTTTGTTTCCTCTAGATTAAACAGCGATCACATCTCTCCATAGCTTCTTTTATTTTAAATATCTATAAACTGAATATTATTATGATTGAACTTGTGAAATGTAATGGAGATTTTCCAGTTGTTTTTGCCATTGCTTTGAACGCATGGTTTTTCTTCTATTAACCTGGCTGCCAACCAAGGAGTGAGGACCCAGATTAACATGTTATTTATCCTCTAGCCAGGGGAGAAGGGATATAGCCATCCTATTCTCGACAGCATCGATCAAAATAACAATAATGAAGATATTAATCAGTTTAATTCTAAGGAAAATCACAACAGGATACAATTTTCATTTGTTAACATGAAATACATAATACGAGAAGGGTGGGTGCTGAAAAGTCCAATTCTGAAACTCTAGCCAAATCACCGAACATCAGAATTGTTTAGTTTAACTTTCCTTTCAGCGTCTCAGTGTTCGTCCCCATATTATTTGCACAGAAAAATAGCCGGTAATCTAAAATAAATCGTCCTAGGTATGACGATAAACTACATCTGGCAGCAAAGCGGGAGATTTTGAAAAGTGTTGGACCACCTCTTAGTTGCGCTTGTTCCCAGGACCATCCTGATCCGACGTGGTAGCGCCTGTTAGGGTCCCAGGTATGGGTAAATAGTTAACACCCAAACTGGAGTCAAAACACTATAAAATTATAAAAATACATTTTTATAGTAAAAAAAAAACAGCAATATATTTTCATCGTTAATTATTAGTCATACATTTTTGGTAAAAGAAATAAGTAATTCTCCCAAGAAAATTAAATTTAGGCATTAAATGACCCATGAGGTGTTGATATGCCGCTAAACGAACAAACCAAAATAAGAAAATCCTTTATGCAAACTTTAAAATTAGTTTCCCCCAAAAAATGGTTCATGGAATTAGCTAAAGGAATAAAATTGATTGACATTTTTACTGATTTTTAAGAGACTTGCTTAACCCCTGAGGAATTGAACCGCTTGAAAAATTTGGATTCAGACACCATATAATTGTCAAAGTAACTGTTTGATATTGAAATCGACAAAAAAAAATGAACACTGGTTTCCTTGCGTCAAAGTAAAAAAGAAAAATCACCTGCGGATATGGGGTGGGGAGCCCAGTTTCACTTGAGTCAGTTTTAGGAGAATCAGGTAAGAGTTAAAATAGCGACATTCGATTCGCGAAATCGCCTGCAGTTAACACCTGCTCGATTCTACGCGGATAGATAAATAAATAGGTATAATAGATATATATATATATATATATATATATATATATATATATATAGAGAGAGAGAGAGAGAGAGAGAGAGGGGAGAGAGAGAGAATTGAGATAGATAGGTATATAAGTAGACAGATGGATAGATATGAACAGAGATAGATAGATAGATAGATAGATAGATAGATAGATAGATAGATAGAAACAAATTGAAATCGAGAGAGAGAGATGAACAAACAGAGATATATATATAGATAGATAGATAGATAGATAGATAGATAGATAGATAGATAGATATGAACAAACTGAGAATGATAGATAGATAGATAGATATGAACAAACTGAGATAGATAGATAGATAGATAGATAGATAGATGAATATGAACAAACTGAGATAGATAGATAGATAGATAGATAGATAGATATGAACATAGATAGATAGATAGATAGATATAATGATAGATAGATAGATAGATAGATATAAACAAATTGACATAAAGATACATACATATATATATATATATATATATATATATATATATATATCGAGAGAGAGAGAGTGAGATGAACAAACTGAGATAGATAGATAGATAGATAGATAGATAGATAGATAGATAGATAGATAGATAGAACAGTATGAGATAGATAGATAGATAGATAGATAGATAGATAGATAGATATGAAGAAACGGAGCTAGATATGAAGAAACTGACATAGATAGGTATATATATATATATATATATATATATATATATATATATATATATATATATATAGATAGATAGATAGATAGATAGATAGATGAATGCTGAAGCATTTTTGAGAGAATTCAAAATGCCTGCGGATGAAGAAAGCGTTCTTATCTTTTGCAATCTGCCTTTTTGGCTGCCTGCCGAAATTCACTCGTATTCTGCACCCACCTCCTACAAAAAAAAACCGTCGTCGGCTGGATGTTAACCGAAGGCGATGCTGGTCGAAAATTAGTTCAAGACTAATTAGTAACACCCATCGAAGACCTTAGGCAAGTTTTTCTACTTTTCGTGGTTTCGGGTTTATCGCAAAATCTGGCTAATAAACAACTAAGTGCCTTGACATATTAGCTTTGTAGGGCCTGATACACTCTCGAATGAATGACGTGCGGCATACAAACAAATATTGCATCGCCTTACACATTTACACACACACACACACACACACACACACACACACACACACACACACACATATATATATATATATATATATATACTGAATCAAGAAAAGTTCAAAGAGACTTATGTGGTTAACCAACTCAACCAGTTCGTGTGAAAATGCTCATTAGGGTCAGATGTTTCATAAAAAATCTTTATATATATATATATATATATATATATATATATATATATATATATATATATATATCAGGTGTAACACCAAAATTGTCAAAATCGTGTAACAGCATAATTATCCATCCTACAAAATGTTTAATATCTAAAAATATAAAAAAACTATTAAACTAATTGAGGTTCTTTTTTCCAGCTTTTCAGATAAGTTTAGCCATCTTGACACCATTTGGCATAAGATTCACTGTCTGAGTAATAAAAATAAAAATGTGATAATGTTATTCTGCTTTCACAGTTGAATACATGGTAGATCATACTCAGCTTTTGTGTGTATACAAGTTTGTGTGGATATAGCTACTAGGAGGTGGTGATATGTGTTTTATTCTGTAGTTTTTGCTTAAGTTATATTTGGAAATACAGTTTGATTTCCTTAATAAATTGTAGAATATTATATGGATTAATGTCATGAAATTCATGTTGGTTGGTTGATTTTGTTTAGCATGATGAGTTATTTAATACCAAAATCTCAATATTTTGAACACAATTGTATGCTTTCAACTCCAGATAAAATGTATTGCTGGTCATTTTGCTTTTAAAAATGTATTGTTGATCATTTTACTATATGTATTGTTGGAATTTTTTTATATGAAAATGCATTGCTGGTATTTTTACTATGAAAATGTATTTTCATACTTCTATAGTGTTTTGTTTTTGTTTATGGGTTCACTATTTGCCCCTAACTAGAACCCTAACAGGTACTACCACTCAGATCTGGGAACAACAGCAATTAAGAGGTCTTTCCATGCTCCTGAAAACCTTCAATCTCCTGATCAAAGACCTTGCTGCCAGATGTAGCTCATTGTCATACTCAGGACGACCAGTATTAGATGCTGCAGTTTCAAGTTTAGAGATTTAATAATCTCATTAGCTAATGATTCATATCAATTATTCTCAAAATAAGCCCAGCAAAAAGAAACAAAAACATAAAACTCTTGCTTTGCCAAACAATTATCAAATAAACTGTGCAGCAAAGTGTGCATCTTTTTGTGTGTCTCTTGAGGCATTCATTCTTCCAGGAATAAATGCATTGAAAAACAAATGCAAATATCTTTGCCAAAAAGCATTCTATGCGTTAATTTCCTAATCATGTGAAAACTACATTCAAAACTCCATATTACACATCCATGATATTTCCCCGATATGGGTTGTTTATTTATTTTTTTTGTTGGCCTGGCTAAGATAAAGCTGGTAAGTATCTAGTCTCTTTCATTTCTAGAAATCTCAAATCCAGAATAAAGTGACCAATCTATAAGCCTTCCACTTTCACCACATTGCCCAGCAGGGTTTATCTAATCTTTCTTCTATCAGAGCAGAACTTTCTCGACAACTTACCAGCCAATCATTTTCTATACGCTGCAGCTGGGCACATCAGCTAGAAACAGAACAGGTTAAAATCGTTTTATGCCTGCCCTGCGATCTCTTTCCAACTGGGCAATGGTGATCATTTAGGCTTTTAGTAAGGTACTAACATTCATACTCTGGCTTTCATCTTCAAAGTCCAGTCAAGAACCATCAAGAGAACGGCGAATAAGGTTAAAAAAGAGTGAACAGTAGGGAGGAAAACTGGATCAGGAGGTCACAACAGGAAGAGGGATCACAATTTCAACTTAGAGCTAAAGAGAGCAATTAAAAAAGATCCAACTCAATCCATAAGATGTTTGGCACATGAGAGAAGAGTTTCAGTTATGACAGTCCAAAGAGCATGAAAAAGACTTGAAAATGAAATCGTATGTGAAACTTGTTAGGCACATTATTACTCCAGCACAGAAAGTTAAAAGGTTAGAGAGGGCGAACATCATCTTGAATAAGTTAGAACATTATCATGAATATATATTGAACTTTATTTTAATACTTCATGAGCTTCCGATCCTTATCTATGATTAATTAATGAAGAACGTGTCATTTTCGTTTATGATCTATTTCATCACGATTCTTCGGTTAAACTTGGAGAGTAATTATACATTCTTATTGGTCAAAGTAGAGTCTAACAGTGTTAGAAAAACCTCGGAGAATTCCAGTAAGATATCTTTAATCATTTCTAAGATACAACGGTTCAGATCTTAATCTGACAATTGGACAATATGATGTTACACAATTTGGACAATTTTGCTGTTACACCCGGTATGTTATAATTTCTCTGCGTGGGATACGTTTATATATTTGTAGATATCTAATTTCGTGTACGACGTAGCATTTTAAAATTCTGAGAACTGAGAATGTTTGTTATTCTTTTTCCATTCAGCTATTCCGTTACGTCCGTGAAATATCGGTGTTGTTATATAAATAAAGGGTTCACTTCGACATTCTAACCACGTGAAGAAGGCCGGAGCGTACAACGGCCAAAGCGTTGTGATAAATATGGCAACAAAGATGTGGAAGATAGTCGAACAATGTAAATAGTATATATATATATATATATATATATATATATATATATATATATATATATATATATATATAAAAAATTTCTCCGATTTAACCAGTAGAAAGACAATATTTATTAATGAAAATGACAATAAAATTTCGTATTTTGCTTTGATAAAGTCCACATTGGACGAAAAACGCGTCAGCAATTACCAGTTTCCTATTGTCATTTTTATTCATAAATATATATATATATATATATATATATATATATATATATATATATATATATATATATTTGAAATGGACAAGTCCGACAATTATTTGAAACAGACCATTTAATACTGTTTATTATAAACAAACCATTTACTTAAATATTTAAATCTATAAAAAAGAATGTATAAACATAAAAATATATATATATATATATATATATATATATATATCCAAATGAGGAAAGGACAGATGGAGTAAAATTCCACTGTTCGCGGCATTTACTTTTTTAAAAATGCTCAATACAAAGTAGAGCAATATATTATTATTATTATGAGAGATTATAATGAAAACATGTTGAAATTGCTACTCAAAAGCTTTCATGTTTCAATACTTTGATTGTACTTCTTCAGGAGATGGTAAGTAACTGGTGATTAAATGTTTTTAAAGAAATTTAAAAACATGCTGTTACCTCTTTTCCGAAAGTTAAAGGTTTGGGGACATAAGGTCAGAATTAAAAATAGACTTGTGGGTATATCTTGATTAACCAATTAAATGTCAGAACTACGCTAAATAGAAAAGTATGTCCAGAGGGTGAAGGTAGGTGAGTTTTATTTTTCATGTCACGATAAACCGGAACATAGACAGGTCATCATTGAATATATATATATATATATATATATATATATATATATATATATATATATATATCATTTACAATATTAGCGATAATATTTAATTTGAATAATAATTTTTAAGACAATGTTTTAATAAATATTTGTCCTTATTATTTATATTTAATCTAAATGTTAAAATTTGTCATATGCAAGCATAGTTTCTGTTGATAATATTTAGTTTAAATTATCATATTTGAATTTTTACCCAACCAGAATTGTGCCTTATAAGCTCAATTTCTCTTCAAATTCGAATGGCCACTCATTTTCGTATCTTAACGTACAGAAATAAATTTAATAAATAAACAAATAAACCCTAAGTAAACTATGGTCGGAGAGATGTAACGTGAGTCTTCTTGATAGGCATGTAATGGTATGTCCAATATAATTATTTATGAATTTGATTTGATCAAAAACACAGTTCTTTAAGCAGTGTATAAATTTATAAATAAAATTGGTCCACTGTAATTTAGATCTTGTAGATGAGGCGTTGTTGTTGACGATGAGGTTAGATGATTTACATTTTTTTATAAGAGATAATTTAATTTTCTTGTTCTGGTCGACTTGGGTTATGTCTTTCTTTATAGTGTTTCTAAGAGAAAATTCATCTTGCTTATAGGAAATGCTTGGTTTTATATAAAATGTTAATGCTATTGTTTTTATCTATATTTTTAATGTTTAGACAGAAATAGTCCAATTTGGGGATCAATGAGGTTCTTTATGGAGGAAGGTGGCACCTTTACAGTGTTGGTCTGTCTTCTGGCTTCTTGTAAAGACTTTTCAAGTACTCTACCCACCTAGGCTATATCTCCTCTACTCCCGTCACGACATTACCATTAATCTCATTGAATGACGTCGGTATGCGGTGATCAAGTTGGAAAACATTCTGTACATTTATCATCTATATCATTTCAACCCAAGCAAGGCAATAAAGCCACTAACTCGCAAGAAGTTACTGAATGTTGGAGAATATGAGAAAACACTACTATAATGAAAAGAGGACAATAAAAGAACAAGAATTAAGAAGACAGAAGATAACGATCGACATTGCATTTAAATTTTTGAAGATCAAAGGCAATAAAGCCACTAAGATGCAAAGGGGTTACTGAGTGTTAGAGAATATGAGAAAAACTACTATTAAGGAGAGAGGACAATAAAAGAACTATAATTAAGATGACAGAATATAACGGTTGTCATTGCATTTAAAACCTTGAATATCAAAGTTGACTGGGAAGCAAGAAGCCGGAAGAGAGTCCCACAAGCGGTAAGTGCAAAAGAAACTGTTAACATAGAACTTGCGGTTACATCTAGCCATTTCAACTGTAAACATAAAGTCTAGGTATCTTAGAGAAAAGTTCATCAGAACAATTGACATGGGACTATTTATAGAAAAGGCACAGGGAATGTAAGTTACAGCGGTGAGAAAGTGACTGAATCTGAGATGCCAGGTTAGGACCAATAACATTGCAGATTCTTCTTTGGATTTTGTTGTGATTATAACAGAAGAGTAATACTCGACTTGAGAGTGTCTGTTTCTCTTGGTTCCCCCTGAGACTTAATCTACAAGAATCTATAAATACATAGCAGGAGCACCGGACCATATGTGGCAGCAATATTCAAAGCAAAGATGAATGGTAGCTTTATAAATATGTAAGATAGATTCTGGCGAGAAAAATTATCTTGCACGACACAGTGAACTCACTTTCTGTGCTCCAGACTTAGCAATTGATTTAATATACTCATTCCACTTCATGTCAGCTGCAAACGTTAGTCCGAGAAAGCGCAATGATTCATTCTGCTGGGGGTTAGCATCAGCCATGCTGACTGAAGTTAAAAAGTTTCACACAGATGATTATAATTTCCTGCTAGTAATTTCGCCTGTCCTCACTTGTTGTAAGCCTTGCTCAGCCTCCACCATTTTTCCTGGTTGTCCTTTTCTTTCTCTCTCTCTTTCGTTTCGTTGCAATCTCCAGTGCCTCCGCTGAAAGATACGATCCCTTCTTGTGACTGCGGACTGGGATATCTTCCTTTGCCGTCTTGGAAATAATGTCACGCATCTTTATCCATAGCTCTTTAATGCTTTCATCGTCGCCTCCATTCTCCGAGCTGTCACCATTTGCACAGAGCCTTCTTTCTACATCCACGCGGATTTGGTTGGTACCTGCCTCATCTTGTAGCTCATTGTCCTTTTATACCGTCTTTCAGTCACATCCTGAATTTGCACGTAAGCTTCTGATGATCACTTCCGCAATCTGCTACTGGTCGTGTCTTGACATTCATGAGGCAGGTCTCCCACCTTCTGAATCAATCTGGTTCCTTGTTTTATCTTCAGGACATATGTACAGACAACGCGAAATATTGTGTTGCTAACTGCCAGATAATTCTCCATACAGAAGTCCTCGAGACCGTCTCCTCTATCGTTTCTCACACTAAGGCCATACCGCTCTAGGTAACGGCTTTCTTCAACGGAAATACCTTTTCCAAACTTTGCATTCAAATCCGCTAGAATGACCTTAAAATCTCTGCCTGGAATCTTGTCTTGGCATCTTCGATTATCTTGTAAAACCTGCCGACCTCCACTTCCGCCTCATCTACTTCCGTATAAACTTGTATAAACTTGATGTCGACTGGGCGGGCGCTATTCCTTAGTGTGATGATCCTGTCATTGACAAGGTAGTCCTGGGGATGGCGATAAACTACATCCGAAGTAAGGCCTCCGATTGGGAGATTGGAGGTTTTGAGGTGCGTGGAACCACCTCTTAATTGCTAGTCCTGGGTATGACGATAAACTACATTCGGCAGCAGGGCCCCTGATAGGGAGACTGGAGGCTTTGAGGAGCGTGGCGTCACCTTATAATTGCTGTAGTTCCCAGGTTCACCCTGATCCCGTCAGTAACACCTGTTAGGTCCCAACTATAGGCAAATAGTTAACCCCAAATAAAAAATATAAAAATACATATAAAAATATACCAACAATAACTATATGTAATAAAATTACCAACAATACCTCTTTATAGTATACATTTAGTTGAAGCCATAAAAGTGCTCAAAATATTTAGATTTCAGCATTAAATGACCCATAGAATTTGATA